GTGCCCAAGTGCGTGAGACTAGCTCGGATGTCGCATCATTCACACAAGCTGTTGAGGAAGATCCGAGGAGCAGTACCGAAGGAACAAAGAGACGACTTGAGTGAAATCTGGGGTGAAGAACTCCTAGGCTTGGAGAGCGAAAACACAAGTGATCACGGAAGGCAAAACGTGGTGGGGAAACCCGCAGTAGGTGCTCCAAGCTCGGAAGAAGTCGACGTGATACACGAGAAAATGATGGAACTTGAGCCTCTCCTAGAAGCCTCGGGAGAACGCAATCTTAGAAGCATCGACCTCACGCATGGGGATTGTCCATGCCACTGTCTGGCTGAGACAGTGTGGTACCCAGACCGCGCCAATCTCTGTCTGATCTGGGACATAGAAGAAATTAAGTCGTTGGGACTACCGGAGCATCGACAAAAGGTGACCATCTTGGTGGTGAGCACGATGCTGGCTCTACGATGGATGGAAGAAAACATAGCGAAGTATAGAGAATCGAGAACGCCAACAGCTGAGTCGATTCATGCGATAGATTACAGCATGAGACTTGAGTTGTTCGAGACCGCATGCAAGGTATTCGCCATACCAGTGGAGATCAGACATATATGGAGCCGCCTGAGATTCTTTCCTTGGTTTCGTGCGACGTTAACATCCTGGTTATATCTGGTGACAAAGGACCACATGAGGAAACATCAAAAGGAATATCGACAATTCCAAGCCGAGATAGGACCAGATGCCTTTAAGAGACCTCTGCTAACCCATCGAAATGCGATCACGACGGGGTGGAAAAGAGTGGGCAGAGTATCCAGAGACAATTCTAGAGCGAGGGAATCGATACTAGAGGAGGACCTGGCGAAGAATATAAGCATGAGTCTTCACAATTCCTTCTGTTTGAACCGGGAGTCGAAGGTAAAGAGCTTACCAAATCAATCGAAGAGGTTGCAAGAGCAGAGGGAGTGGATGCGATCCTATGAACAGCTGAAGGCCTGGGAGGAGATTGTGATCAGCTCCGATGACGAAGAGGCACTGTTGGAACAAATTACAGTGCCAAGAACACCGGTGTCGGTTACCTCGAGGGCGAAGGACACGAGGTGAGCCGGTGGCTCGAAGGGAAAATTCTAGAGTCTTGAGTCTTGAGAGGGAGGAGGCTCGAGGGTGAGCTCGGATGAAATCCGGGTTCACGAAAAAGAAATTTTAGACGAATAAGATATTGTTATTAATATGATAGATCTATTATATAAATCAAAATGATGCATGACAATTTCCTGACTGAATAGGACAAAAGAAATTTTAAAATTACCAGCTTAGAAAGTGGGGACTCATGGGTGCAGGTGTGTGCAGATTTTGATTGCTGTTTAGCGATAGTGTGAAAATTTTATATGGTTGTGAATTTTGGAAGGTAGATAAACTTAAGTCCGATGCAAACTTCTGTAAATGACCACTGGCACTGTATCTTGAGCAACACTCGGTTCTCTGGGACTCACTGGCAGATGACAACACGCTATGAGGACATCGATCTCGAGTCCGGGGAGTATGTGCCAGTCGGTCATGTCTGGAGGTTTGACCTTGAGAAACACGTAATTTTGGAGTGAAGTTTTAATTTTAAAAATTTCGAATGGAGCCTGTCATGCTCAGTTTTCTCGAACCAACAGAAAACAAAAAGGGAAAAATCAGAACGACCGAATTAACAATTGCGGGAAACTACTCAAGAAAAAGGCAGGAAATTGCTATTCGCAATTTCTCGAGACGAAATAATAAGAGAGTAGAGCTGTCTTATCCCGAAAACAGGAGAATAGAACACAGACTTGAGAAAGGACGATTATTCGAACGGAACAGAGTGAACATTCAATGGAAGAAAGGACAACTCAAGTGTCCCGATGGTTCATGCAGAAACTTTGATTCTTGAGACAGAACTTACTTCTGTTGTTAAAACTAATTAGCATCAAACTTATTTAGTTATATCATTTGATTCTCGAGCTGCTCATCTTTTAATTACTCCTCATACTCAAGCGCATCGACATGTTAGTTCTCAATTTAAATTTCTCGAGTATATTTTATGATAGTTATGTTGAGATAAGGCGAGTTTTAGGTTGATCCATCTGAAATGGATCAAAGTTCCACTGTCCAATAAAAAGTAACTAAGCGGATTGTTCCGACCCGGTTTTTAACGGCGTTCATGTATTTTGGGTATCCAGAGACCTAAGTATAGGGACGTTCCTAATTCTAGAGTGGGGGGATATTTTAGTAGTAGCCTTTAAGCTATAACGGGTCGTAGTCTCATGTCACAAACGAACCGAATTGGCTCCGACTGATTTGAGGTAGAAAAACACAAGAGATAGTGTCCCTGACTCTTGAGCCAATGGTTATAGGGCCTATTTTTCTTAAGCCTCATGTGTGACTGCAGTAGACGAATGTTACAATCGGTCGACGAGACTGAAGATATTGTAGTACTTGACGGAAGTTGGAGTCCATCAACGGAGCAAGACGATTTTGCTAGCTGGATAACGGAAAAATCGAGTAAGTCGCCATCAATTGGCTGCAGCAGAGATGAGCTAGAGTCTGTACATTAAGTTAATTTGAGCGTTGTGGTTGAAGCAGGAAAGCAGTAACGTTTTGTCGACCCGATGTTAGGAAAACCACCAAAAGAACTGGCTTTGGCAGAGACGGTGAAAAGCATGCAGAGCTGTGTTTAGACGCTGGCCAGTCGTTTTAGAAACTAGCTTTATTCTCCGTCGATATGTACTTCTGGGCGAATGTTACAAAAACTGAGGGGTGAAAACCCTTGGACAATTTTCCTAATGCCTATACACTACTACTACCTACTACTACAACAATATCAGAATATGAGACAAATCGAAAGATTAAATAGTAAATTGAAAAATTGAAGTTTTTCAGAATTTTAAATTACGTAATATCATTCATAGTGCGTTCATAGTGCTCGAATTTTCAATGTGAAAACGCGTGATTGGTTGATTTTAAGACTGGCTTACAATGTTTTGGGCATTTTTGAGACCATAATCATTTTGTAAATTTTTTTTATATATTCCAAAGCTCATGAGGCATACGACTGTACAAAACTGCTCGTAATTTACACATTTGTTTTCTTCTATAATTTCTTATGATCGAATCTATTATATATTTAAATGCGGGCTTCACAATCTTGCCATGTTTATGCTTTTTCAACGTATTATTTTTGCATGTTTAATCTAAATCGTATATTGCAATGGTTAAGAATTTTTTTTCGATTTTCCAATTTGATTTTAGTGGTTATTTTACCGAGTTTAAATTAAGCAGCCCAATATCGAATTAGGGGTTGCGAATTTGGCCTCCAATTTTGAATGACCGAATCATTTTCATTTTAGCTAACGAGATTAGACGATTTTTGAGATTTTTTCAAAAATTATCTGAAATTTCAAATAACAAAATAATTTAAAAAAAGTTCCCAACCCTGTAGTTGAGCGCTGTCAGAGTACTCTAAGGAGTTACAAATCTTGCCTCCAAATATGACTGTTCAAATCCTTGTAGTTTTCGAGATACGACGTTTTTTGTGATTTTTTTCAGAAAATTTTCAGAACACATATAAATTTTTTTTTCGAAAAATCTGAAGTTCCCAACCCTGTTATTGGGTCCTGTCAGAATAATTTCAAAGATTGCGAATCTTGCCTCCAAATATGATTGCTCAATTCTTTGTAGTTTTCGAGATACGACGTTTTTTGTTATTTTTTTAAAAAAAATTTCAGAAAATTTAAATTATTATGATTTTTTAAATCTGAAATTCCCAACCCTGAAGTTGGGTACTGTCAGAGTAGTATCAGGGATCGCGAATCTTGCCTCCAAATATGACTGTTTAAAGCCTTGTAGTTTTCGAGATATGTCGTTTGTGATTTTTTCAAAAGAAATTTCAGAAAACTTACATTAATTTTTTTTGCAAAATCTGAAATAACCAACCCTGTAGTTGGGTCCGGTCAGAGTAATCTCCAAAATTGCTACTCTTGCCTCCAATTATGACTGCTCAATTTTTTGTAGTTTTCGAGATATGACGTTTGTGATTTTTTCAAAATTTCTCAAAGAACTTATCTACAAAGAAATTCAAAAATTTGAAACTACCAGCTTGATGAAGATACAACCTTATTGTCAGCGTACACCCAGGCGTCTCGAATCTTGCCTCTTAATATGAATGCTCAAATCCTTTTAGTTTCCGAGATAAGACGTTTTTTTTCAATTTTTTCGGGAAACTTAGGTTTAAAAAAGTTCACAAAATTTTGGATTCCTTACCCTATAGTAGGGTGCTCTCAGGGACTCTCAGTGGTTGCAAATATGGCCTCCAAATTTCTTCAGAGGTCCATTAAGTTTTTGATATGACGCTTTTAAAATGGGAATTAAAAAAAAATTTAATATTTGTAATTGGGTGCAGTCAGAGTCCACTAAAAGTTTGCAGATGTTGTTTCCAATATATGCGGTTTTTACTGAGTTGTCGAAAAATTTCGAAGCACCGAAGGTGCTTTAAACGCTGGTATGATTTAATTACTGTTTTACTCTCAGATCTTTTTATCACACCGCGAACAAAATTTACACTATTTAAAAAAACGTCGTTTTTCAGTTTTGTTTTAATATTGTGGTCGGACCTCTCTGTGCTATTTGCACAGCAACCGGCTATTCGTGTTCAGTTTTTTATTTTGGATTTAACAGCTCGACTTGATCAGTTTTTCTGCTTGTGTATGCATAGGTTTTGTGTTGAAATGCAAATATTTTGGGGGAATATCATGATTATCAGTATAAAATCGACCGAAAGCTAATTGTCGATGACCAGGGCTCGTTGTTGAACAACGAGCATTATCTTGTGCTGTACAAATTGCAACATGACTTGTTTTTAAGAAAAGTAAGGTTATCTAATAAGGCCGTATTGATGCTATTCTGTCGACGAAATCATTCCTAACAGTTGTGCTCGATTGAATATAATATTTACTATCATGCGGTAATGTACCAGAATAACTCATTCAATTTGATGTTTCTAATTGCGACAGTTAAACAATAGTTTTGTTGCAGCTTAAACGTGATCTAACAAAATTCTAGATCTCATGTATAATAACCAGCGAGTTGCATCTGGATATGTTATTGACGACGATTATTTGAGAAGAATGGCTTATATGCCACCAAGCAGCACTTCGAGTTCGCGGTATTCTCATCCAGCGGCTAGCGTGAGCGATCCCATCTATCAAACACGGGATTCAAGTGCTTTTGATTCCAATGGTTTGACGCCCTCTGAATCAGACCAAATAAGCAGAATAAACAATGGCATGAAGGGTCTAGCCATGAAGTTGCCGTCTCGAGATAGTTCACCTGGATCGGTTGACGAGACTGAAGATTTTGTAGTACTGGACGGAAGTGGGAGTCCATCAACGGAGCAAGACGACTTTGCTAGCTGGATAACGGGCCACTCGAGTAAGTCGCCACCAATTGGCTGCAGCAGAGATGAGTTAGAGTCTGTACAAGAAGATTTGAGCGACGTCTCGGAACTGGCAGAGAGAGTGAGAAGTCAGTTGAATGCTAATTTAAAATCTGCAAATGACCAGAATGCAGTTTTGAAACAACTCAAGGAGCAGAGCGCTTCAGTGCCAGTTGCTGCCGTGAGAAGGCAGGCGACAAGTCCACGTGGTGAAGCAAGTGGTGGTCAAGACGATGCCACTGACTTCAGCGCACAAACATCGGAAGAATCTTTCATAAAGCACAGCATGCATGAAGTACAGAAAAAAGACAAAGAAATATCGGTGAGTTGATGAAGAGAAATTGACGAAATTCAACTTACCGGATCCCGGCTTTCTAAAAAACCCATACAATTACTGAATGCATCCTTAACGTAGATTCTGAATCTGTGTTCAAAACGGTAAAAACAAACTAAAAAAATATATGTATATTTTATTATTTCTAGAGCTGTAGTAAATTTGAAGTTTCAATAATATACAGTCGGTTTCGCTCACGCAATATAAACTTGACCAGGTAGCTTGGTACCAGACTGCCTTTGACCCATAGAGTCGGCGGCTCCTTTAGACGTGAGATTTGATTTTTCGCAATTTGACTTTTTTCAACTGATTTTTTTTTTCAAATAAAGTTTCGACTTCCTTTTTTCTCTTCAGTATCTTGCGGTGTTTTTGTTGTATTGCAATAGTTGCGAAGCTCCGCTTCGCCTCTGTGTTACACATTCAAACTCAGGGGACTTTGTGGAGTCTTCTGAATTTCGCCGAGTAATTTTCTATGATAGCCAATTTGCATTTAAAATATATATTTTCGATAATTCGAGGTTGACCGGAAGGGATTCATTCATTATTTCGGAGGATTAATTCTCAGTTGAAAAGTCATTGGTTAGCCCCCGTTCTGACTCAAAATGGAACGCCAATTGAATATGAAAGTGTTTTTCAGCAACTACGCAAGCAATTGGAAATCCACTACGAAATGAGCAAAAACGCCAATTCATATAACGGACAACTGCTGAAATTGCAAAGTGAAAAGTCTGAAATGCAGGCTGCGTTTGAACAGCAGGTGAATTCATATGAAAACGTTGTCTCTAAATTGAAGCTCGATTTGACTGATAAAGAAGAATTAATCGGAGAGCTTAAAAATGAAATTGGACTTCTGAGAACCGAGAAGCAAAACATTGAAAATAAAATAATGGCATCTGATGGCGAAAATAAAAAGCTGCTCGAGGAAATGATTGAGCAAAATAGGAGAACTGAGCAAGAAAACTACAGTCTAAAGGAAAAGATTGACAAAGCTGAAGAGCAAGTTCGTGCAGGTTATGAGGAGGCTGCAAAGAAAGAAGAGGAGTTGCAAGACGTGAGAAAACTGAGCGAAGAAATGCAAGGAGAGAATGAGCGCCTCAGTAATGAGCTGGCTCAAATGCAGAAAGAAATGGTAGATTGGAAGGAAAAAGCAAAGCAAGTGGAGCTAGAAATGAAAGAGACGAAACGGAATGCGAAGGATTTGGAGGAAAAAGAAGAGAATTTAAGATCAATTATTTCTAATATGCAGCAGAGACAGCAGAGCGAGGCCAGGGACTATGAGTCAAAGTGGGCGGGAGAGTTGAAGAAGTACAAATCACTTGCAGAAGCGAAAGAGCGGAAAATTGCGGAGTTGACGACAAGTCTGACGGAAGCAGTGCCGAAGCTGGACATGCTAGCGCAACAGAATCCGCCTTACGAACAGCTGATGAATTTTTGCAAGCGGGCAAATGAAGGTATTAAAGAAAGAGACATGACAATCAAACAATACGAGGGTTTCATTCAGACACATGTACAAAATTCTGGATTTAACCAACCGAATCCCGAAAATGCAGCGCTGAAATTTGAAATCGAAAAATTGTCGCGCGAAGCTGTAGAATCGCAAGAGCATGCAGAAAAGTGGTACAAAGCAATGGTTGAAAAGGAAAATTTGGCAGCCAATTTGAAACAACAAGTGGAGCAGAAAAACCGGGAAGTGAATGAGTTGCAAAAGTCGATTGTGGAGTTGAAAGAGGAAGTGGATTTGACGAAAGCTCAGGTTGAATAAATTTGATCCCCTCTTTTTCTTAAGAAATTTATTCAAGAAGTTTGAGAGCTCAAACTCATCCCAAACCCTTTGATTGACCTATTTTGCGTAAATCTTTCCATATCGGTTACTATTTTGCAGGATTGTGAACATAATGTTGGAAGGTTTGGCAATATACTCATCCCCCCCCTCCCCCCCCCCCCCCGCACAAGTACCCACATCATCCGATAAAGCGCCTCGGGCGCGTTGAAATTTTGTTTCCTTACAGCTTAAAGTTTTTACAGTCGAATTTGACAGCTTTAATGTATTGTTTTGTTTGTACAAGTGCAAGAACCAGAAGGTATATTTTTTGCAGGTGTCAGTCCACATAGAAGATTTCAAAGAGGAAAGAGAAAGAGCAAACCGCATCAAGAACGAACAAGAACAGGCGAAACAAGACTGGTTGCTGAAAGAAGAAGAGCTGAAGACCGCCATCAAAAAACTGGAGAAGGCAAAAGAGGAGGAAGACAGGTGTGCTCTGCAAAGAAACGGAACAATCACCCGAAACAGGCAGATCAATGGCTATACGACTGGGGGCACAACTGGGCGACAAAATCCAGCCCTGAGTGATAGAAACGGAGCCGGAAATAGAAGAGACCCTTACGAACAACGAAGGAACGGCGGAGATTTGAACGGTTCCGGTGCATATGGAGGATATTACGGTACCGGTGCTTATGGAGGCGCAGAAAACAGAGGATCTGAGAGCAACTATCAGGTTCAAGAGAACTACTATGAGCCTATAGACGCAGACTATGATAACGTGGGCGTGAATAATGCCGAAAACGGAACGTTTGGTTGGGGGAGGGCACAAGAAGTGAAAGGTCAAAAACGAGGCATGTTGGATAGTGTGAGGGATTCTGCATATGGTATGCTAGGCTACGGAAAGGATGGTAATAATGGGAAGGCTCAGAAACAGAAGCCGAGAGAAAATCGACCTAAGTTTCAATGTCCTCTGTGTGTTGATGACACCATACAGTTTCCAGATGCAGATGGGTTGAATGTACACATAAATGAAGACCACCCTGAATTGGGCAACTGAAAATAATTGGTTACTAGAAAAACTTGGTGCTGAAATACCAACTTATATTATTCAAAGTACCGAGTAAAGAACTCGCAACATAATCATGTACCAGATTGAAAGAACCTTAAATAATTTGGCGCTCTTCGCCTCTAGGTTAGATTTAGATAAATCACCATTTCTCTGAGTAATGAGCTGGATTCTCATCTCTTTTCATTTCGGGCCTTTTTTAAGAGTAATGAACATAGTGAAAACTCTTATATAGGTCTTGCTGAATTTTTTTCAGGAGAAATCTTAAAATATTGATGCACTTAGGTATAATGCACTTTTTGAGTTAATTGAAAATCATCTGCTGAAAATAGCACTCTCTAAATACGAACGTGCAAATAGTGCGAAAAAACGAGAACGATTTTTAGTTCCGAAAGTGGAATTTATTTTTAAGATTTCCCAGCGGAATAAAAACTTTACCTAATGATCCAGTTTTCTCAAGTTGGGTTCATTTTATCAAAAAAACGCCAGTCATAAATTGTTCTAGAAATTCAAAGAGCTTAAAGGGCATCTATTTTTTTCTTCGAAGTTCGAATATTGATTTTTGCAAGAAAGTCTGTCTTTTTTATGTTTACTTGCGTTCATTACTCTTTTCCAATCTTGGATTGGCTATGTTTAAAATAAAAATCAGTGAACACTTGAGTTTGAAGAATGATTGGTGAGTTATTTTGAATGTTATATTGTTTATTTGATTAGCTTATTCTGAATTGAATCTATATTTTCACTCACTTAATTCAATTTCACCCAGTCCCACAAAAGTTTTCTTTTTCAATCAATTAATAAATGTTAAGGAACGGAGTAATTTATCATCTTTTTTTCAGTTTTTTTTTTTCAGAAAAACGTTTTAAAATTTTGTTCAGGCTCGAATTTGATATTTCACTGTTTGATGTTTTTCTAATTTCATTCAAAAGCTAGAGAAGTGTGGTCACGCGCACTCATAGAGCGTAACTGGCGCACATGAAAACACATGGAGTACACCTGGAGTTAGCGAACTTGATCATCAGTTTTTTCCTTTACACTTCTCAGAGCAAGTGTCTTTTAATAGGGATCTAGACTTTTTCCTATACAATTTTTCTTACAAATGGGTTAAAAAATAATATAACTAGCTTTGTTTTTGATTCTTAACATTTTCCAGTCTCCTTTGACTTGGTCTAAAGTTAACGTGGTTTCCTTTGCACCCAAAGGTATGGGTTCTAGTCCCGGTAGGACCTTGTTTTCTTTCGTATTTTTTACCCTTGCGACTTTTTTCCGTAAATAACTTTGTTCACAGAATGGTCAAAATCAAACATGGTAAATTTAGGATCAGTTCATTTGGAATTTAAAATTTTATGGCTCTTGGTCTGGAGGCTACGAATACGCCTGGAACGGCAATTACCCTGGGTTCAAATTGTTTCAATAAAATGTGTCGGCTTATTATTTGTCTGTTTATGTTTTGTCAACTAAGTGGCCACATTGTAGAATTGTTTTTTTTTGTTGCTTAGGGAAACATTACATTACGTTGCTTTTTGTCTTGCGTTTTACTTCTGTTTGTATTGTTTTTTACTTTGGCATCGTATACATTCTTTTTTTTAACTTTTTTTTTGCTTAGAAACTTTTTGCTTAATAATTTTCATGCTCACTGGATCGCACAAATTGCTGAAGTCTTAATAGAATTAATTGCTCAAATTTTTCATGGCAAAATTTTTCGGCTTTCTTGTTTTTTTTTCGTTTTGTCGGCGTGATAGGTTTCGGGCCCAAATTATATAGGTTTAATGGCCTCATTTTGTTTCAATTGACGTGCTATTGAAGTTTTGTGTATGTGTGTTTTGAGGGTAAGGGGCATTTAAACTTTTATCAAGTCTTAAGTCTTGATTTTTTTCTGCTTACAGACATTTCGATTTTTTTCCGACTTAGCGGCTCTGTTGTCTTGTGTCGCAAGTGGTGCGAAGTGCAGTTTCGCCTCTGTAGAATTGATTTTTTCCTGTTAATTTTTTAATTGTTGGTCTATTATTTTTCTGCTTGTATTCTGTTGGCTTAGCTGCCACATCACGGCTTTTGCTTGTTTTATAAGCGTTTTTCCCAGTAGTTGCCATTGTCGTCGTTGCAAGTTTCGTCGATTTTTTCAAGTAATTTAAAAATTTACTAGCCCTGAGTTATTCTTTTCTTTTTTTTTGGTTGAAAGTTTTATTGGTCAGCATAATTTTGGTCTATGTTTTGTCTGCTTAGGCAAATCATTTTGTGTCGTTTGGAGGATAAAGTTCATTATTATTTCAAATTAATTCAGGATGGAGATGGACAAAACAAGATAGCGCTGATAGTAAGGGAAATTCACTCAAATTTTTGGGGTTTTAATTGCAAAGTTCGAATTTCCTACTGGGTATGTTTTGTGTCTCGACATTTTTTTTAGCTTGTTTTAATTTTTTTTACACATAGCCTATTTACTTGTAAACATATTTGCTTAAAATTTCATCCGTAATTACGCTCTCGAAAGCAGGTGTTTTGTAATCGGGAACTAGAATCCCGTAAACAACTTTTCTTTACCCGTGTGATAGGCAAGAGTATTGCAATTGGGTACTAGACATTTCCCCGAAATAGCTTTGTTCACATAATGGTCAATTTAGTAGGAATGGTAAATGTCACTTCTCACATGCTTAACTCCATAAAAATTCAAATTAAATTGCCATCATTTAAATTGTAATTAGTTATTTCAGTTATTATTAGTTATTATTATTTCAAATTAATTCAGGATGGAGATGGACAAAGCAAGTTAGCGCTGATAGTAAGGGAAATTCACTCAAATTTTCGGGGTTTTAAATGCAAAGTTCGAATTTCCTACTGGGTATGTTTTGTGTCTCGACATTTTTTTAAGCTTGTTTTAATTTTTTTTTCTGATTTTTGCTTGTTTACAATGTGCAGCTTCGACTGTATAAATTTTTGTATTTAATTTTAAATTTGCATATGCAAAAAACAAGCAGGTCTATTTTCCCTATGCAATTATATCACCGATCGCCAGTGAGATCATTCATATGCTTAAAAATTAAACTAGTTCAACAACTGCTAATAATTTTAACAAAGATTATCGTTTCTTGTTCAGTTTTATGGTACACATAATCTATTTACTTGAAGACATATTTGTTTAAAATTTCATCCGTAATTACGCTCTCGAAAGCAGGTGTTTCGTAATCAGGAACTAGAATCCCGTAAACAACTTTTCTTTACCCGTGCGATAGGCAAGAGTATTGCAATTGGGTACTAGACTTTTCCCCGTAAATAGCTTTGTTCACATAATGGTCAATTTAGTAGGAATGGTAAATGTCACTTCTGACATGCTTAACTCCATAAAAATTCAAATTAAGTTGCCATCATTTAAATAGTAATTAGTTAAAGCCCGTTTCACTTGGTAATTATTTTTCAAATAAATTTCTTCTTTTTTCGCATTCGTTGTCTCACTAGTTTCTGTCGGTTAGTTTTCCGTTTTTTAAAATGTTCTTCTTCAACTGGTACGGTTTGAAATGGCCTATTAACTAAAGCTTGTTTTTTTTCTATTTAAACAGTTTGTCACTATAACGGAAAGTTAAGTAATTTGTAGATTCACTAAGTCTGGTTTTCTTTGTATTTTTTAAACTAATTAAACAGTTTTGGTTTATGCTATGTCGGCATGGGTTCTAGTCCCGGTTTATGCTATGTTTAAGGTATGGGTTCTAGTCCCGGTAGGACCTTGTTTTCTTTCGTATTTTTTACCCTTGCGACTTTTTTCCGTAAATAACTTTGTTCTAAGAATGGTCAAAATCAAACATGGTAAATTTAGGATCAGTTCATTTGGAATTTAAAATTTTATGGCTCTTGGTCTGGAGGCTACGAATACGCCTGGAACGGCAATTGCCCTGGGTTCAAATTGTTTCAATAAAATGTGTCGGCTTATTATTTGTCTGTTTATGTTTTGTCAACTTAGTGGCCACATTGTAGAATTGTTTTTTTTTGTTGCTTAGGGAAACATTACATTACATTGCTTTTTGTCTTGCGTTTTACTTCTGTTTGTATTGTTTTTTACTTTGGCATCGTATACATTCTTTTTTTTAACTTTTTTTTTCCTTAGAAACTTTTTGCTTAATAATTTTCATGCTCACTGGATCGCACAAATTGCTGAAGTCTTAATAGAATTAATTGCTCAAATTTTTCATGGCAAAATTTTTCGGCTTTCTTGTTTTTTTTTCGTTTTGTCGGCGTGATAGGTTTCGGGCCCAAATTATATAGGTTTAATGGCCTCATTTTGTTTCAATTGACGTGCTATTGAAGTTCTGTGTGTGTGTTTTGAGGGTAAGGGGCATTTAAACTTTTATCAAGTCTTAAGTCTTGATTTTTTTCTGCTTACAGACATTTCGATTTTTTCCGACTTAGCGGCTCTGTTGTCTTGTGTCGCAAGTGGTGCGAAGTGCAGTTTCGCCTCTGTAGAATTGATTTTTTCCTGTTAATTTTTTAATTGTTGGTCTATTATTTTTCTGCTTGTATTCTGTTGGCTTAGCTGCCACATCACGGATTTTGCTTGTTTTATAAGCGTTTTTCCCAGTAGTTGCCATTGTCGTCGTTGCAAGTTTCGTCGATTTTTTCAAGTAATTTAAAAATTTACTAGCCCTGAGTTATTCTTTTCTTTTTTTTTGGTTGAAAGTTTTATTGGTCAGCATGATTTTGGTCTATGTTTTGTCTGCTTAGGCAAATCATTTTGTGTCGTTTGGAGGATAAAGTTCATTATTATTTCAAATTAATTCAGGATGGAGATGGACAAAACAAGATAGCGCTGATAGTAAGGGAAATTCACTCAAATTTTTGGGGTTTTAAATGCAAAGTTCGAATTTCCTACTGGGTATGTTTTGTGTCTCGACATTTTTTTTAGCTTGTTTTAATTTTTTTTACACATAGCCTATTTACTTGTAAACATATTTGCTTAAAATTTCATCCGTAATTACGCTCTCGAAAGCAGGTGTTTTGTAATCGGGAACTAGAATCCCGTAAACAACTTTTCTTTACCCGTGTGATAGGCAAGAGTATTGCAATTGGGTACTAGACATTTCCCCGAAATAGCTTTGTTCACATAATGGTCAATTTAGTAGGAATGGTAAATGTCACTTCTCACATGCTTAACTCCATAAAAATTCAAATTAAATTGCCATCATTTAAATTGTAATTAGTTATTTCAGTTATTATTAGTTATTATTATTTCAAATTAATTCAGGATGGAGATGGACAAAGCAAGTTAGC